AGATCAAATGGGAAGCCTTGCCGATTTCCAAGAAGAAAGAGTTCGACCTAGCGCAGGCCAAAGAACTTTCACAGGTAGCTACATCTCAAGCCCTTCGGAACTTGACCAAACAAGAGCTCAAGGAGTTCGACCCCTCAACATGCATGAATATGAGATGGGTTCTTACCCAAAAGGCTGATGGAACAGCCAAAGCAAGGCTGGTTGTCCTAGGATACCAAATGCCTGGGATTGGAACGGCTGAGACAGCGTCGCCGACTATGTCAAAGGTTGGACGCAACATGCTGTTGACAGTGGCCGCAGCCTTGGGACTACGAGTCAAGGTTGGAGATGTTTCTTCGGCATTTTTGCAGGCCGACGAGAGCTACGAGACTGAAGGTTTGAATGTTTGGGCACCTCCCGAACTAGCTGTGCTGTTTGGTGCAAAGCCTGGAGACCCACGAGCTTTGCGAGTTCTACGTGCTTTCTACGGTTTGGTGACCGCTCCACGGTCATGGTTCAACTCTGTGACTGGCAAGATGATCAAAAGTGGTTGGAGAGCCCTGTTGGGCGACCGATGCATTTTCATCTTGGAGGAGACCGTAGATGGAAAGACCACAATTTGTGGAATTGCTGGCGTGCATGTGGACGACTTCCTGATCGCTGGACGCGAAGGATCTGAACGTTATGCAAAAGCTGAAGAAGAGTTGCGCGAAGCTTTTCGTTTTGGAAAGTGGCAGGAAGCCTCAGAAGGCGTTGAGTTTGCTGGTTGCCGCGTGATCCAGAAGGAGAACTACGAGATCACCCTGGACCAACAAGAGTACTCTGAGAAATGGTTGGAGGAAATTCCAATCGACTCAACACGACCTCATGGAGCCTCTTTGACAAAGGGCGAGATCAGTTTGATCAGAGGTGCTCTTGGAACAGCTTCATGGCGAGCTACCCAGACGGCACCACAGTATCTTGCAGATACATCTCTGCTTCTTTCTGAAATCAGCAGAGGAACAGTTCAGACGATGTACAAGGTCAACAAGTTGATCAGGGAGATGAAAAGAAATAGTCAGCTGAAGCTGATCTACCCCAACTGGAAAGGACAGATCGAAAGCCTTCAAGACTTAGCAGTCATCACCTGGACCGACGCTTCGAACCACAACAGAGCTGACAAGTCAAGCTCACTGGGAATCCTCACAGGAATTGCTCCCAGTTGTATGTTGGAAGGTGAAGAATGCCAAGTGGCAATCGTACAATGGAAGAGTGGCAAATGCCCTCGTGCAGTTCTTGGAAGCAACGGTGCAGAAGTTCAAGGCCTAACAGTTGGAGAAGACCAGAACTTTCATATTCGAGCTCTACTTTATGAAGTTTCTGGACGCCGAATCGACCGACAAGATCTTCATCAACAAGTGGCGACAGTGCCAGGCGCTTTAGTACTGGATTCCAGAGGAATCTTTGATGCTGCGACAAGGAACTTATCAGCATTGCATGGGCTACGTGACTCCCGAGCTGGATACGAGCTGACGCTGGCGATGCTGAATGCGAAGAAGGCCAACACAAAGATGAGATGGGTGAACGGCATAGCTCAACTGGCCGACTCCCTTACCAAATTTGCAGACCGAAAGGCCTTCCTCCAGTTCATGTCCCAAAAGCAGTTTTGGCGCTTGGTGGACGACCCTACGTTCACTGCGGGCCGCAAGATCAACAAGAAGATTTTCGAGCAGAAGCTGAAGGAGACGGAAGACTTCTTCTACAACGCCGTCGCGGAAATGGCCAGGAAATGTAACTGGCCCTGGGCCGAAAGTGGCCAAACATCCTACAGTCCCCTGACATAAAAAGTCAGAAGGGTACTATGGATGCAAGGATAGCTGTTGCATGTGACTTTTCATGGACTGTAACATACATAACCACCTGTGGACCGCAGGGTGGGTACTTGTGAGTCAAGCGGAAAGCGGTGCGACCTGTGTCGCGAACTCTTAGGTGAGTTTCCCCTATTCCCTTTAGTCAGGGACGTGTTGCGACCGGTGCCTATTGAAGTAGTGTAGTGTAATTTAGTGTAGTGGAGTGTAGTTGTGTAGTTGTAGTTGTAGTTGTAGTGTAGTGGAGTGTAGTTGTGTAGTTGTGTAGTTGTAGTTGTAGTGTTGCGGAGTGTAGTGTAGTGTAGTGTAATGTAGTGTAGTGGAGTGTAGTGTAGTGAAATGTAGTGTAGTGTAGTGAAGCGAAGCGACATCTGAACCTCCAAAAGTGGTCCGAACCCCTTGTGTTTTTAACGTTTTGACTTCGAAATGTGCTTCGCGCCACAACGGCATGCACTTTTTCGACATCTGAACTTCCAAAAGTGGTCCGAACCCGGGTGTTTTTAACATTTTGACTTCAAATGTGCTTCGCGCCACAACGCCGTGCACTTTTTCGACATCTGAACCTCCAAAAGTGGTCAAAACCCCTAATGTTTTTAACATTTTGACTTCCAAATGTGCTTCGCGCCACAACGGCGTGCACTTTTCGACATCGCAACTTCCAAAAGTGGTCCGAACCCCTGGTGTTTTTAACATTTTGACTTCGAAATGTGCTTCGCACCACAACGGCGTGCACTTTTCGACATCTCAACTTCCAAAAGTGGTCGAACAATGGTGTGTTTTGTACATTTTGACTTCCAAATGTGCTTCGCGCCACAAGGGCGTGCACTTTTTCAACATCTCAACTGCCAAAAGTGGTCCGAACGTGGTGTGTTTTGTACATTTTGACTTGGAAATGTGCTTCGCCACATAGGCGTGCACTTTTCAACATCTCAACTGCCAAAAGTGTCCGAAGGTGGTGTGTTTTGTACATTTTGACTTGGAAATGTGCTTCGCGCCACAACGGCGTGCAATTTTTCATCTCTCGTCTGGCCAGCTGGCTCCGCACCCGCCGCTTTAGCGAGCCTACTTTTCGACCCTCCGGAGCCACAAAACATTGGAAAAACACAGTGTTTCGCGACTTTCCTACCTTTTCGCGCATCTACATCTTCTTTCTTCTGACTCTTTCTCTTCTACTCTTCTTTCTTCTAATCTTTCTCTTCTCTCTGCCTCTTCCCTGCTCTGCTTTTCATCTGTCCATATTGCCGGAAGTTTGACTTCTAAACTTCCTTCGACTACTGTGTACTACAAAGCTTGCACAAACTACTTCCCAGTACTACTTTGTACTACACAGCTTGCACATAGCACTTCCGAGTACTACTTTGTACTACAAAGCTTGCACAAAGCACTTCCCAGTACTACATTTTACTACAAAGCTTGCACAAAGCACTTCCCAGTACTACTGTGTACTGCAAAGCTTGCAGAAACTACTTCCCAGTACTACATTGTACTACACAGCTTGCACAAAGCACGTCCCAGTACTACTGTGTACTACAAAGCTTGCACAAAGCACTTCTCCCAGTACTACTATATACTACAAAGCTTGCACAAAGTCGTTCCCAGTACTACTGTGTACTACAAAGCTTGCACAAAGCACGTTCCAGTACTACTGTGTACTACAAAGCTTGCACAAAGTCGTTCCCAATACTACGCTGTACGACAAAGCTTGCACGAAGCATTTCCCAGTACTACTGTGGACTACAAAGCTTGCACAAACTACTTCCCAGTGCTACTTTGTACTACAAAGCTTGCACAGAGCACTTCCCAGTACTACTTTGTACTACAAAGCTTGCACAAAGCACTTCCCAGTACACTGTGTACCACAAAGCTTGCACAAAGCACTTCTCCCAGTACTACTATGTACTACAAAGCTTGCACGAAGTCGTACTACTGTGTACTACTAGCTTGCACAAAGTCGTTCCCAGTACTACTTTGTACTGCAAAGCTTGCACCAAAGCACTTCCCAGTACTACTGTGTACTATTAAGCTTGCACAAAGTCGTTCCCAGTACTACTGTGTACTACAAAGCTTGCACAAAGCACTTCCCAGTACTACTGTGTACTACAAAGGTCGCACAAAGTCGTTCCCAGTACTACTGTGTACAACAAAGCTTGCACCAAAGCACTTCCCAGTACTACTGTGTACTACAAAGCTTGCTCAAGCACGTCCCAGTACTACTGTGTACTACAAAGCTTGCACAAACAGGTTCCAGTACTACTGTGTACTACAAAGCTTGCACAAAGTCGTTCCCAGTACTACTGTGTACTACAAAGCTTGCACAAAGTCGTTCCCGGTACTACTGTGTACTACACAGCTTGCACAAAGCACTTCCCAGTACACTGTGTACCACAAAGCTTGCACAAAGCACTTCTCCCAGTACTACTATGTACTACAAAGCTTGCACAAAGTCGTTTGCAGTACTACTGTGTATTGCAAAGCTTGCACAAAGTCGTTCCCAGTACTACTGTGTACTACAAAGCTTGCACAAACACGTTCCCAGTACTACTGTGCACTACAAAGCTTGCACAAAGTCGTTCCCAGTACTACTGTGTACTGCAAAGCTTGCACCAAAGCACTTCCCAGTACTACTGTGTACTATTAAGCTTGAACAAAGTCGTTCCCAGTACAACTGTGTACTACAAAGCTTGCACAAGGCACTTCCCAGTACTACTGTGTACTACAAAGCTTGCACAAACACGTTCCAGTACTACTTTGTACTACAAAGCTTGCACAAAGTCGTTCCCAGTACTACTGTGTACTACAAAGCTTGCACAAAGTCGTTCCCAGTACTACTGTGTACTACAAAGCTTGCACAAACACGTTCCCAGTACCACTGTGTACTACAAAGCTTGCACAAAGTCGTTCCCAGTACTACTTTGTACAACAAAGTTCGCACAAAGTCGTTCCTAGTACTACTGTGTACTACAAAGCTTGCACCAAAGCACTTCCCAATACCACTGTGTCTCATTACTGTATATTGTTTGAAGATTACGTGCGCCATTCCATCCACTGGTGAACTAGCATTTCCCTTTTTACAACGGCCATTTGGAGGCATACGATTGCATACCCCAATTTTAGGCACCTTGAACAAACACATGCATCGAGAGCCTCAGCCACTGCATGCCACCGCGCTTCGAGGTGAGCCAAACCGCAGAAGCTCCTTCAGACGAACCCCAGGAATTTTGCCGTGCACTGCTCCGCTTTTCGGTTTAGGTGCCACCATTCCAGTTTACCAGCTGTGGTGATTCCCGGCTGCCTAATTCAGAGGTATTTCGAAGCCTGCGACCTGTTCCATCGGGAGGCCAAAGCTACTGCACCCGTGACCGGGAAACGCCTGCCCGAAACATATGGACCATCCCGCGAAAGTGGTTAGCAACCACAGCTATGTAACCGATTGTCCACTCAGGGAGGGTCATTCACCAGATTCCAATGCATCCATATGCATCCATATGCTACAATTCTCCACATGTGTAAAATCCTCCACGAATGTAGCAAAATCACGGGGTATCCGTGCGGGAAGGTCATCCACTGCGACCAGGGACTTAATGTGAGGCAGATTCGCTACATATAGTGGGAAATAATCCGCGAATCGGTGGTGTAAAGCATTTTCATTTTTGTCAGATGGGCTGTGTTGATGTGCATGTGGAGTGCATTCCTGACGCAGTTTCGGGAATGGTTTGCAAAAGGGTCGGGATGATCCTATTGAAACTCGCTAGCCATTCATGATTCTTGGTGTTAAGTGTTAATGGATGGGTTCAAAGCATTTAAAGACCTGGGGGACACATGAGGAGCCCCATTCATATTTTGATGCACCATGAAAGAAAACAACTACTACCAATCACGATCATTTGCTTTCAAATTCGAAAACTCCGTCATGAAACCAGCCCCATGTGAGGATATATGGATAATGGTTTGACCATGTTTGACCTAATTAGCAACTTTTCTGATCTTGAACTGGTGCGGTTTCGAGGAGGCAAGCGGACCGGCTTTCGGGGGCAGGCTTGAAAGCTCCCTTGGCAAGGAAACCAACCCTTGACTCTGGATGTGCCTCGAGTCTAGCGCAGAGAGGGAAATTTTGGACACGACCACCGAATTCGTGCGTGCATGGTTGCTCAAGAGCTTGGTACTGATGACCTATCCGTTCGATCTTCATGAAGTGTATGGGGCCTCAAAGCATTTCAAAGCTATCAGGCATCCGGTTCTTACATTGTGCCTAAGATAGTTTAAGTGTCATGTCCAAATGTTTCCGTGCCGTGGTGTCATAGTCGGCTGGGCTGTGGTCCCCTTAAGGGCGCATGAATTGGGTACAGGTCATCTTTTCCTCTCCGATGTCACTGGAATGATTTCTAGTACTGGTATGTACTGGTAGCTATCTCAAGGTTTTGTCTGGTGAATTATCATTCCCAGATGGATGGAATTTGTTCCTGATCCCAACGATGATTGAAGCAAATCACTGGGTCCAGATGCATCTTTTGGTTGCTAAAGCGCCAGTACCCAAAGAAAGCGCCCAGGTCTTTTCGCGCGTCTGAACGACGCCAACTTTTTACAGAACCGGTTCCCGTTGATCGGCCGGGACAGGCTATGACACGATCAATTGCCCCGTGATCAGACATGGCAAGGGACAACAGCGGACAAACCCTTTTTTTCCACTGTGGACAAGCCCATCTTAAGAAACAATGAACCTCTTTGTACATGGTGGATGTATGTGGATGTGTACGTTCTTGTCCCATTGCCAGATTTGATTACCCAATGGCTATTTTTCTCCCCCCGGAAGGTCTTTGGGGAAGCCCTGGGAGCTTAGGGAATCATCTCCTTGAATGGCCAAACAGAATTTAAGTGTCTGAAATCTTTTATAGTGACGGACATGCATTTAGATAATCACTTCGAAAACGCTAAATTTAAATTCTGCAGGAAAGTGACTAAAGTGATCAAAGTGCCTATTCGGGAAGAGCCACCTTTACACTTAGAACATCATTTGCGCGACGATGTTCTAAGTGTATGTCCTTCAAAGTAATGGAAAACAGGAGGGATTGAAACCAGTGGTTTAAGCTTTGATGCGAATACAACAGAACTTGTGGGGCAAAGCATGTTTCCAGTGATGATTCCAGTGTCAAAAACAACATCAGAAGCATGTCACCTCTGCAATCTCAACTTAAAAACGTAGAGCTTATCAATAGAGCCCATTTGGGTTGAAGACCTGTGACAGTTTCACCTTTCAGAATGCCCAGAGGTAGGAGAGTATGCGCTTAGAACATCC